TTACAGGATTTTGTGAGGATTAGATGAGATAACACACATAAAATGGTTGACTTATAGTAATGCCCATAGATCTTAGTTATTGTATATGGGTAGTGATAATAGGCCTAGGGTTAAAGGCTGTAGCAGATACATATTTAGTTACTCATTTACAACTGTTTACTGAGTACCCACTTTGGGCCAGCCCTGGGGATGCACTGACGAGTGGAAAAGAATGAAGGTTCTGCTCTCTCTGGGCTTATAGCATAAAAGGAGAGATATATATCAATCAACAGTGACACTGTGGATCCATGAGCATAAATGGAGAGACATACTTTCAAAGGAGGGATCACAGTTCGGTGAGAGCAAAGCAAAGGAAGCTGGCCCAAACTGGGCATCCAGGAAGGCTACCCAGGGGATGTGCAGACCGAGCTGAAGGCTAAGGATTGGGAGGAAGCTTGTGAGGGAAGGGGAGAGGAGAGAACGTGTCGCAAAGACAAAGAGAAGGGCAGGAGCGAAGGCAAGTTGCCGGCCCGGGGAGGGGTGGGTAGCAGGTGGTCAGCTGAAGCTGGAGATGGGGGTGAGGGCCTCTGAGTCATGGCCAGGGTTGGGGTTGGCAACAGGAAGGTTGAAGATGGAGAGAGGAACGGCAGGAGGGAGACGTCCAGACTATGGTGGCCCCGGAACCCACATTAAGGATGTTGATCTTTACTCCTCCAGCAGGAGGTGCTACATCTGATTTGAGTTTCAAGAAGGTCCTATGGAGGCAGAGGTTCTGCCTCCTCCTCTCAGTTCATCCTCCCAACCACTCACAGCCAAATTACAGTGAATTATGTGGAAGCCACTTCCATGGCTTCTGTCTGATCTTCCCGCAGAGATCACAGACCCTCCAAGGGCCAGAGATGTGTGCTCCGTGCACTACCCACAGTGACGCACAGTCTTGAAAACAGTAGGCGCTTTGAGGGAGCACATACCTGACTATAATAAGGCAAAGCCAAGTGGAAGGCAATGTCTCACTTTCCACAGAGAAAGCCTACTTGAATATAGGCCCTTTTATGAAATAGTACAATGTTTACTTCCATACTGAATGGATCAATTTACTTGCATCTTATATAAAGTAGTAATAGTTATATTTAGAAATATCATTCTCCCCAACCTTTTTCTTGTGTTTTTTTTTTCTTAAAATAATTGCATTCAGACTCTTCCCAGGCGCCTTTATCATTTGCCTTTGTCATCACTAAGGCCGTTTTTGAATAATCTAACACTGCGTATCACCCCCACTTCTAAATTGTTCAAGACACAGCACTTTGAATCCAGGTAAGATGCTGTAACTGAAAATTTTATTCCAAGCCTCAAGAGGTTTTTACGTTTGTCTTGTGGGTGGATATTTATGATCTCCACAAGGTCACCACTGGCAATGTGCTTTTTTTTAAAAAGTGAATTTTAAAAGGCTTGCTTAAAATATCTTCAGTATTTTTAATGATGAAGTCATATCTTCAGAAATAACAACAAAATCTGTGTTAAATATTTTTACCTCTCTTTTCCCCCTGATGTTATCAGGTGACATCTGTAGGCCTCCAGTCTTCTCTCCCTCACCAACCAGCACCAGCTGAGGTCACTTCAGGCTGATGTCTTCCTCCAAATGCTTCCTTGATGTTCAAAAAAAAGTAATTGAGAAAGTGTCAAGAATGAGGGAACTTTGCAAGAGCTTCTGTTCTATGGAACAGTTGTCAGGGAAACATGTTGCCTTATAATCAGACTTGTATGGTAGTTGCTTGTCAAATGAATATACTTGCTTAGCTCACCTTGTGATCGTGGCTCAAGGGACACAGGAAAATGTGGAAGCTTTTCCTGGGAAAAGTATTGCATAATTTTTAAGAACATATTTCATTTATCTTAAGCCATGGTTCTCAAATAGGGGCGATTTTGCCCCCCAGGGGACATTTGGCAGTCCCTGGAGACATTTTTGGTTGTCACATCTGGGGGAAGGGTACCCCTGGCATCCGGTGGGTAGAAGCCAGGGGTGTTGTTAAACATCTGCATTACATGGGAGACCTCCGTAACAAAGAGTTATGGGTCCCCAAATGTCTATAGTGTCAAGACTGAGAACCCTGGCTTAAACTGAGTTGATAACAATTGGCTTAACCAGAATCCAGGACAATGATTGGCAAAACAAGGAATGTCTACTTCCTAAGCATCCTCAGCCCCACCCCTTCTCGTCTTCAGGTTCTGTGTTTCCTCTTCTTCTGGAAGCTGGGCTGTGAAAATCAACTCTTCTCTTCTGCTCTCCTCTTTTCTTCCTTCTCTCATATCTGCCCCCCCCCACCAGTCTCTCTGTACATGAGTAAATGAGGGAATCCAGAATGCTTGTTTACTCAGAGAGGGTTGGTTTTCAAAAGGTAGGAGTGGTTCTTGGTCCTTCCTACTTTTCTCTCCCAAGTCTGAGCCATAAGATCCAGATGGTTGTAGAAATGGAGCAAGTGTCAAACCAAAGCATGTTGAATTAAAATAGCATCTGTAAGAACATGAGCCCTGGAGCCAGGGGCTGAATCAACTGTCTGTCACTCACTAGCTGGGTGTCTCAGTCAGCTCAGGCTGCTATAACAAAATACCACAGACTGGGCGGCTTAAACAACAAACATACTTCTCACAGTTCTGGAGGCAGAGAGTTTAAGGTTAAGGTGCATGAAGATTCAGGTTCTGGTGAGAGCTCTGCAAGCTCTGGCTTGCAGGTGGCTGCCATTTTGTTGTGTCCTCACGTAATCTTTCGTGTGTGTGTGTGTGTGTGTGTGTGTGTATGTGTGTGTGGAGAGAGAAGGGGGGGGGAGGGAGGGAGGGAGATCTTCCTCTTTTTATGAAGGCACTAATCCTGTCATGAGCACCTCCCTCAAGACCTCATTTAAACCTAATTACCTTCCAAAGACTCCGTCTCCAAAGTATCATCACATTGGGGCTCGGGTTTCAGTATGCGAACTTTGGGGATCTGGGGACACAAACATTCAGTCTAAGACACTGGGTAACCAAGGGCAAGGGGTTTAATGTCTCTGGACTTCTGTTTCCTCCTCCATCTAGAAAATGAAGATGGTACCTCAAGGGGGGTGGTGAGGACTACACGAGATACTGTAAGTAAAGTGTTTGGGACAGTCATGCACACGCGTGCCAAATTTCGCAATTTTTGTGAATCCCAACCACCACAGAACTCATAATATCCACGAGTCGTTCTGGTGTACTCCAATTACTGGGATTCTCCTTTCTCTGAAGACTTTCAGAGCCTCTCGATAATGCCACACAAGGTACTCCTCAGTTCTACTATCTCGTATTACTCATGAAGAGATTGTGCTGATACGTCCGATGCATTGGCCTTCACAACCAGACCATAACCCCATTGGAGACGGGGCTGCCCTTAATGCTTCTTCATCATCTGTGGTAGTGATGGGACGGAGTATCGGGCTGCAGTTAGACCCACCTGTGGGAGACTTCTGGGTCTCATCCCTGAAAGTACGTGGGAATATGTGTCTCTTCAGTCGACGTTGCTGTCCAGCCAGTTTAGCGAACCTTTTTTGTTACAGGAAGTCATTACCAAACACTTCTTGGCTGTGATTAAGAGAAGACACGAGCATAAGCCGAGGGCCTCCTAGACACCAGGCACTGTGTCGAGTGCTTTCTACGCATGGGTTCCCGAAAGCCTAACAGTCTGCTGGAGTAAATATCATCACCCTACTTTTTGTGCACGAGGAAACTGAGGTGCAGAGAGGTTGAGGTCTGCCAGTCACAGAACTGATGGAGAGTTCAAGCTGTCCCACTCCAGAGCTCATGCCCTCAAAGCCACCCCACGCTGCCTGCATGTTGGTGGATTACTGGATCATTTGATGGCTTCCCAGTAGCTGCCCTATTGGTGGGACCATTGCATCAAGCTATATACCCCATCGCTCACAACCCCTCACAAATACTTGGTTCTTAAAGTGTTGAATTCCTCTGATCAGAATTTTGCCTGACTGCAGGGCTGAGGGTATGTTGTGGAAAAAAAGAAAAAGAAAAGGAAAAAGAGGGCCTTTGGGGAAGAAGGTTCGCAATCACACGACCAGCCTCCTCTGAAAGGCGAGCCAAGGAGACCACCCTACATATCCCTTTGCAGGGATCATTTCACCGTTTGCTATTTTGGTTGCTCTTAACTGACTTCCCAGAGTCCTGAGAAACATATCCTCATGCCATTAAAAAATATGTAGTGCTGAACCCCTAGTCCCTCCCTCGCCCCCCATGTCATGGATAAATGCACAACCTGCAGCCGTGACGTGGGGAACCCTTCCCCCCTACGTGAAGCTGCTTCCAAGCAGTTCGCGTTAGCTTCCGGCCGGTGTGTCCCCGACGCAGAACAGTAGGGAAGCAGGAAGGTCAATCCATCATCAGTCACGAGTTAACCCCCTTTTTATTTTAACACGGGACTCAGACGATTTGAACATGCTTGTAGGAAAAATTGCTCTCCCTTTCCCAAGTGATCCTGATGGATACTGATGTTTTTATGATTATTAATAAAATCTCTGAGACAGAATTTTATGGGCGCACAGAGACTCTAAAAAGTCATTCTTTGCCTTGGAAAATTGTGTATGGTAAGGGTGATAGAGGAAATTTTTAATAAGTGTGTCCAAGTGGAAAATCAGGGCGCAAAAGACGGAATTTTAAGAATCTGCTCTGGCTCCTTTGGACATTGAACTCGCTTCCTGCGAAGGCCTTCCGGGATGTGTTTCCCGAAGATAGTTCACCCCCAGGAAACAGTTTCAGTTTAGGTGGACAGAAATCTTTTGGGGAAAAACGCATTGTTAACTATTCGTTGGCTCGTGTATTTTTTTGTTCGCTTGTTTATTTGTTTGTTTTTATCATCTGTCTTGCCTTCTCCCTTCTTCCTCTTTCCTTCCTTCCCCACGTCAGTTCTGTCAACATTCTCTTCGGGATTCCATGGATCTATCTATTCGCTGAAACGGTGTAAAATCAAAGTGACTAACAAAGAAACCCCCGTTCCTTTTTAGCCTCCAAATGAGATGGGTTGGAAAAGGAGACAAACACCACGGGACTGATGACTTAAACATCGATGCGCCCTGAGCAAACAGGAGGGAAAGAGCGGCCGACACCTGCTTGGTAATCAGCTTTGTCATTCATGCAGATATTGTGAGGACAATTCCTTGCCGAAACCTGGAAAATCTTAGCTTTGTTCGGTGCAAGGCAACAGACAGGCCCTGTTTCCAGGCACAGCTCTTGCTTCAGCAATCAAGAGTGGCCACGAGTAACTCTGGACCTACCTACCTGTGGGTCTCCTTGACCTTCGCCAACACTTCTGCCTCCTCCCCTGCCTCTTCTTCCCCCAGTGTTGGGACTCCTGTCAAATCCTGTATTTAAAACCAGAATCCTGGAAAAGTTGGTCATTGCCAGCGCGTAATGACAGGTTGGCTAATTGATAGTGTGCCTTCAAAAACGGGAGTAGGACAAACAAGGCAGCTAATTTTGATAATGAACAGATTCGAGGCAAACAGGCGACAGCATCCTTTGCATATGGTTCCACACCAGCCGTGTGTTTGTTTGGATTCTATGTTAATTTTAGAAACTGTAAAACACCACATGCCAAATTGGTTGATTGAAATAATGCTACTTCCCAGAGGCTGACAATCTGTTGTTTCTTGCAGGAGGCAAGAGGTTACCCGATGAGTGTTGACTTAGTTGCAGGCAAGAGTCTCATGGAGAATAGAGACAGTTGTCCAGGTAATTGACTGCCTCGGTGAACTGGATGCTTGGAGTATTTTGATGCTGCTTTATGTCTGTCTGTGTATCCCTCGATTCATGCATTTGTGCTTCTATTTGTTGTGTAATTGGTTCGATTCCCTTTGCCAGTATAGGTCTTGACTCGATTTTGATCTGGAACATTGCCTTTTTTTTTTTTTAATGTTTATTTATTTTTGAGAGAGAGAGACAGAGACAGAGCTCAAACAGTGAAGGGGCAGAGATCGAGGGAGACACAGAAACCAAAGCAGGCTCCAGGATCTGAGCTGTCAGCACAGAGCCCGATGCGGGACTCGAACCCATGAACCGTGAGATCATGACCTGAGCTGAAGTCGGACGCTTAACCAACTGAGCGACCCAGGAACCCCTGGAACATTGCCTTTTTAGTCAAAGTTATACAGAGTATTTTTCCTAAAGGCATGTCAAGGAAGTTGGTCATCTTAAATAATCTATAAATATTTATTTCTGAAAGGGAATTGATTTTTTGGACTTTTAAAACCCAACAACATATAAGTTGCTGTGTTTTAAAATGAATGTACGTAAGGGAGAAAGAAAGGAAGAGAGGTGGTTTGGTTTGTGATTTTAAAATTAGACAAACTGAAGAAACATACTCTTTCTTTAAATAAATAAATACTGTCTGCTAAATTACATTGTTGAATTTTAAATCCTGTGATAAAGTGGTACTTACCAGGGCTATAAACAATAAAGATAAACATTTCTGCTCTTGTGGGACTTCTATTTAAAAGTAGGAAAGATAATTTTAACAGAGCATCATATAATGACGAGCATGGTAGCCAGCTGATTATAAAATTATAAATGTTAATTTTTGAATCACGTTTTGCAGACGTGGACGCCAGGCACGGTTATATATGTCAGTTTCTGTCGTCAGTCTCACCCAAAGAAACCCTTCGCTAGTGAAAGACTCAACACGGAGCATTATTTAATGGGAATAAAACAAGACCATTCAGGGCAGGTTTTGCTTGAGAGAAGTCCCCTCAGAATATCAGGGAGATACTTCAGATAAACATTCAGAATTACCTCCTGGCTAAGCAAGCAAGTGGGGAAAAAAGAAAAAAGAAAAAAGGAAAGAACAAGAAAAAAGAAAAAAAAATCTCACCCAAGACCCCCGTGGCAAGTGGAAAGGATTTGGAAGAGCTCGTAATTTGGGCTTTCAGCTGTTTTGCTGGGTTGTTAGTATTTGGTTTTATCCAAGAGCAATTCTGGATTTTAAGGCATCCTTCCTTGTTGCAAAGATAAATAAACAGAAATTCAGACTTTCAGGGAGAATTGGACTTTTATTTCCTTCTTCCTCATTAGAACGTATTTAGACCCCTATCCCCACCTCTTTTTCAAGACTTTCTGTTTCATGTTAACTCTTTAAAGAAAAGAAAGAGGCACAAAACAAGCAGCAAGAGAACCTTGGGTGGGGGTTCCTGTGAATGTTTTTAGAAATAAAACACAACTCTTCCTTTTTGCCTTAACGAGCATTTAGGAGGCCCTGCGATCAGGCCATCGGTAATGAGAGAGAGGCATGGCTTTGCTTCACTATTGTAGTTTAAATAGATTTGGAATCCAGTGAAATGGTTTTGTTCTAATTCTATCCTTTTTTTCTCAGTTCACTGACTTCTCAAAGAAAGACTTTCCAAAGTAGCTGGCAGTTTCCAGTACGATAAGGCGAGGGAGGGGGACATTTTTGTTGCTGTTTGCTCTGTCCTGCCTTTTCCCCACTTCAAGGATCTGAGGCCCCATGGAAACCCTTGGAGTACTCATGGCCAGTATGGACTGTTATAAATAAAATACAAATCAAAAGCGTCATTCCACTGGCTTCTTTAGGTTCTTAAGCAGAAGAATGTTCTGATCACTGAAGCCATTTCAGGGCCCGAAATTAGAAAGTAATAAAAAATATCACACTCTCCCTGGTGGGTAGTACATTTAATTGGTTCCCCAGCAGGAGTCCAGCCTGAAGTCAGAAAGGCTCACTCTCTAGATCTCTGCTTCCAAAGGACCGCATGCAAACATGACCAAGTCAGTAAGAAACTGAGTGAAGGGAAACCGGAAAACCAGAGACAAATGCAGAAAAGAAACAGCTCAGGGCTAGGAAGAAGAAAGAACAAAAAATGCATTAATCCCAAATTTCTTTAGCCAACACACCAACATATGCACAGGCCAGGCAATAAATTGTTGCGTTTAGAGCGGCCTGGATCAACATGCGTGTTTAGGGCAGAAGTGACTTTGGAGTCAGCTCTGGTTGCAGGAAGTTCTTCGGAAGAAAACGGACTGTCTTCACAGACTCCTGACCGTTTGGGATTTGTCTTAGCAGACCGGCCAGAGCCTTGATTCGAAGCTCACTCCCGGCCTCCGGACGCGTGGCCACGCTGGCCCCGTGAAACACGCTCTCCAGAGTTTGGATGCGGAGTAGTTGGGACTTCACGGCAGTCGCAGGGACCACTCAGCCCCACAGAGCCTGATACTCTGCTGCCACCTTCTGTCCCAGCCTTGACGCCGAGAGGCTGTTCAACTCTGGGCTGTCCAGAAAACTCGGTGACTATCCCCTCTGCCTTTAAGGGTCAGGCCCTGGGTGACCTGTGCCCTCCCGAGGCATTCGTGCCTCTCTCTTCACGCCCGCCTGGAGGCCTGTCCGCTTCGGGTTTGGCCCTTTGGAATGGCTTCTTCCAGAACCAATCTCAGCTTGTTTGCTTTCCTCCCTTCCTCCCAGATCCCGAAGTTTCCATAGGGAGAGGGGTCCGGAAAAAATGCAGCTGAAGGCAAAGACAGGGCTTTTTGTTTTCAAACCGTCAGCACACTTCTCGTCTAAATCATTGCCAAAGACAAATGGGATGAAGTGGAGGAAAGGAAAAGTGAGGTTGAATAGCAGGAAAAAAGTCCTGACAGCAAGATCTATTGCCCTGTGGAGAGGCGTCCCCCGGGGGCGAGCTATTGGAGAGATATTTAAAACTTGAGTGGACAAAACATTAGACCCTTCACCGCAGGGAACAATTCTGCGGCAGCTCCTGGGACCTGGCCCCCGTGAGCGCAGAGGTCCTGTCCAACTCCAATTTTTTATGATTTCTCAATTGACTTCCCGTTCTATAAAAAGTGTTCAGTTGCCGCTGAGGAATCCAACTGCTTTAACATCCAGTTTGAGGTCAGGATGGTTTCAGTATACTTTCATTTTAGTGCCACATTAAAAAATGTCCCCACGCCTACTCTCTTTGAGCCAAAGGAAAGCAAATTCACATAATTAAGCCTCTAAATACGTATTTTAGGCCAGAGGATGGAGTAGTCGGTCCTTGACAACTGGCCGCGACGTGACTCTCAGAGCAACGACAGCTTTGCAGTACAGCCTTCGAGAAATGCTTTGCCCTTCCCGATTCTCCAGTTTGGGTTTGTTGGTCTCGTTGGTCAGGATGATGATATCGGATGCCAGTTGTGAACATTTTGGATGGGCTGGGAGGTGGGATAAATGGCTTCGTTCTGCATCTCATTGCTAATGGCTCCTTCTTTGTATGGATTTCACACTTAGCAACCTGCTGGCCCCGACCGGGGAAGACCAAGAGAGCAGGAGAGAGGTAGGATGTGCGGTCATGTTCTTCGCCTGAAGATTCCTGCTCCTTAGGGTGTCTGGGTTCAGCCCTCCAACCGGTAATTATCAGGCTCCCATTAAGTGCTGGGCACTGAGCAGGGAGCTGGGGTGTCAAAGTGGAAGTGGGCGAGGACAGACAAGAAAACCAATGGGGTCCCTGGGATAAATCTCTCAGTGGCTTTTGGCTATTCTTAGGGTACAGTTGAAAATCCCATATTCTGCAAAGCATCCTGTGATCCGGCCCCTGCCTGCTTCTTTGATCTCGTCTCCGTCCTTCCTCCGGTCTCTGAGGCATGAGCGAGCTTGGATCTACTCTCTTCTCCCTGGTGAGCTCTGTTCCTTCTCATATCAATGCCCTTCCGGGCACTCAGCCCAAAGCCCACTGGTCTTCCTCCAACTCCTTCACCTAGTTAATGCTTCTTCCTATCTCTCAGCTCCCAGCTGAAAGGTCACTAGCACAGAGAAAGCCTCCCGGGCCTCTGGGCCTACATCAGGTCTCTCGAGAGTGTCCTCTCTCCATCAGAGCCCTGCAGACAGCTAACGAGTCCAGGGCTGGGGGGGGGTTCCTGTCCCTCACCCCTTCCAGAACATGATCCGTGTAAACAGGTACCTCCCCTGTCTGGTTGGCCTTTGCCGACCAGAGCCTCCCTCAGGGCCTTGTCCATAGTGCATGTGCCGAGTGGATGAACAAATGGAAGACTGAATTAAGAAAGTCCTGCAACACGGGTACGTGCAGATGCTGTTGAGTCAACAAAGAGACAATGGATTCCACTGGAAGTATTTTCTAGCAGAAGTGGTCATTTAGCTGGATTTTAAGGAAAAAGCCAGAGTTTCCCTATTGAGATGGGCCCGGGGGGAGTTTCTACAAGGTGCACCCCCTCGCCAGCCTTGGTAGGGCGCCATCTTGTAATTTCTGATTACATATCTGTGGTAAGAAGTTCAAACATTGCTGAAATGCCCAAGCACTACAGGTTACCAGCCTTACTCCCACCCTGTAGGCATAAACCTTGGTCACGGAGAGTGTCTCCTGGTAGAGTTTTTGTATACCTTTCCCCCAGGGATTAAATTATTTTAAGTAATGTTTTATTCCACCCAAAAACATATATCTACATTGCCACAAGGAAGAGGCCGACTCCTTTATTCACTTCAGTGGGAGCCTTGGGCAGGTCTGAAGGAGTTCATAGGTCATTGTTTACTTCCCAAGAAACCCAGAAGATGCATTGGAAGAGATTTTTTTACTTTGTCGCGATAAAACAGGTCTGGCCACAACTTCTAAGCCCTGGGAAATGGGTTTTAGTCTGGAGAGAACTTTCCATTGGTGTGGTGACTGTTGGGTTATAAAGATGGTTGGAAGACAAGGTATACCAGGAAATGTCAGTAGAATGGAAAACATAATGTGAAGGCGTTGATCCTCACTGATTCCCAAGTTCAGGTAGCTGGTATATGTTGCATGACCTGCACGGAGCTAAGTGCTTTACATGTGTTGTCCATTCAGTCTCCATGACAACCTTGCCAAGTGAGTCCTACTGTTATCACCTCCATTTTACAGATAAGAAAACTGAGAGTCGGAGAAGTGAAATATCTCGC